CACCCGTTGCCCCCCCCAGCTCTTCCCAAGGTGTCCCTAAACGAATGGGGGCACCCAATACCCCTCCATTGCCCCTCACCACCCAGCAGCCGTTGCCCAGGTCAGCAATCTTGACACGCAGCCAGGGGGCGCAGCGGGGGTCCAGGGGGTTCTCCTGGCCCCCCAGGAGCCCCCCACCTGCGAGGTAGCAACAGGGACATCAGCGGGGGCACCTCAAGAGCCCCTCGAACCCCACTGATGCCCCCCAAGACCCCAATATCCACAACCACCTCCCCCCCATTTACCCCTCAGCACCACCAATTGCCCCCACATTCCCACCCCCCCACCCCATTGTACTCACCAAGGGGTGCAGGGGGCCCCCCCGAGCCCCCCGAGATGAGGGAGCTGGATGTGGGGGTGAGGAGGGAGTCAGAGGCAGAGCTGGGGCTGGGGGGGCGCCGGACCAGGAGCCCTCCTGAGGTGCAGGAGCCACCCGAGAGGCCGTCGCTAGAGCCACCGGCCGGGAGCGTGTGCACCCCTGAGGAGGAGGCACCGCTGGGGGGGCTGCCCCCCCCCTCCTCGTGGTCCGGGGTTGCGACTTCTGTGGGGGGGGGTGGGAGAGAGACCCCTGAGACCCCCCACAATCTAACAGGAATGAGGGGTCCCCATAACAGCCTCATGGAGCACCCCCAAACCCTCATGGAACCCCCCCAAACCACCCCCAGGGAGCCAAAGCCGCCTCCCCTGGGAGGCCCAAACCATTCTATGGGGCTCTGCCCCCCCAGCACCCCCCCCTATGGCCGGCTTGCACTGACCGCTCTCACCGGCACCCACTGGCGACGCTCCGGTCTCCCTCAGCCGCTCCAGATCCTGTAGGCACTGAGCCAGGCGCCGGCTCTGCCGCCGCCGCTGCCGCCGCCGCCGGCGCCGCTGGGCCCGGGAGAGGCGCTCCTGGGGCGGGGATGCACGGGGCACACGTGTGCGCAAGGAGCAGTGTGAGGGGTGCGCGGGGCACACGTGTGCGCAAGGAGCAGTGTGAGGGGTGCGCGGGGCACACGCGTGCGCAAGGAGCAGTGTGAGGGGTGCGCGGGGCACACGCGTGCGCAAGGAGCAGTGTGAGGGGTGCGCGGGGCACACGCGTGCGCAAGGAGCAGTGTGAGGGGTGCGCGGGGCACACGCGTGCGCAAGGAGCAGTGTGAGGGGTGCGCGGGGCACACGCGTGCGCAAGGAGCAGTGTGAGGGGTGCGCGGGGCACACGCGTGCGCAAGGAGCAGTGTGAGGGGTGCGCGGGGCACACGCGTGCGCAAGGAGCAGTGTGAGGGGTGCGCGGGGCACACGCGTGCGCAAGGAGCAGTGTGAGGGGTGCGCGGGGCACACGCGTGCGCAAGGAGCAGTGTGAGGGGTGCGCGGGGCACACGCGTGCGCAAGGAGCAGTGTGAGGGGTGCGCGGGGCACACGCGTGCGCAAGGAGCAGTGTGAGGGGTGCGCGGGGCACACGCGTGCGCAAGGAGCAGTGTGAGGGGTGCGCGGGGCACACGCGTGCGCAAGGAGCAGTGTGAGGGGTGCGCGGGGCACACGCGTGCGCAAGGAGCAGTGTGAGGGGTGCGCGGGGCACACGCGTGCGCAAGGAGCAGTGTGAGGGGTGCGCGGGGCACACATATGTGACACTCACGGGTCCATCCTGTGGTGCGGAGCTCACTGCAGAGAGTACCGGGGGGGTGTGTTTCAGTGTCAAGGGGTCTCCCCAGACCAAACCATTGCACAGGATGGGGTTTCGGGGTACCTGCGCTTTGGGGTGGCCCCCCCCCACGGGCCCATCGTGCCGCCTCGGCTGCCAGCTGCCTCACGAAGGGCTCCCCCACCCGCAGCAGCACGTTCTCGGGCTTTATGTCGGTGTGGATGATGTTGCACTTGGTGTGGAGATAGTCCAAGCCCTCCAGCACCTGCGTCCCAACACAATGGGGGTCCCCATGGGGCTCTGGGGCGAGGCTGGGGTCCCCACATGGGTCTGGGGATGTGGGGGGATGTGAAGGGGATTGGGGAGGGTCACAGGGGGTAATATGGGGGGGATAAGGGGTGATGTGGGACCCCCTCACCTGCCTCACAATGCTCTTGACACAGGGCAGGGGCAGCCCCTGGTAGTTGGATTTGATGATCCAGCGCAGCAGCTGGTGGCCCAGCACCTCTAGCACCATGCACACGTCTTGGAGGGGGGGTCAAGGAGTATGTGGCCACCTGAGACCCCCCCATGGGGTGAACATCTGGCATGTCTCCCCCAAAACCCCACGACACCCCCCCAGCTGGATACGGACACCGTTGACTCCTGAGATCTTGAAGTCATCGATGAGCTGCACAATGTTCTCCCGCTTCGGGTCGCTGGGGTCCGAGTCACGGACCTGGGGGGGGGGGGCAATGGGGGAGGTGGATGGACACGGCAGGGATTTGAGGGCTCCATTTGGGGGTCCCGGCCTCACTCACACATTTGAGCAGCTTGATCTCATCCAGTGCCGTCTCCGTGTACTGTGGCGCGCTCTTCACCACCTTCAGCGCCACAAAACGCTTGCGCCTAGGGGGGGGACACAGAGGGATTGAGTGGACCCCTGCCTTAACACCCCCCCTTTGGGGTTCCCCCCCTTTGGGCACTCACCGGATGTCCCAGCAGAGCCACACGGTGGAGAAGTGCCCCCACCCCAACTTCCGCACCACGTGATAGCGCCCATTGAAGAGGTCCCCAATGCGCACGGGGTAATACCCACCTATGGGGGGGTATGGGGGGGGGTTTATCACCTTGGGTGCTGCCCGCCTAAGCACCCCCCCAGGCATGGGGCACCTCCACCTTTGCAGTAATCACGGGGGTCCTCTTGCTCCCCTTCATCCAAGCCCAGCAGCCCCTCAGAGAGCAGGGGCAGGGGGTGGGGGGGCTCCAGTGATGCTTCCTCAGAGGGGGTTGGGGTCCTAGAAGGGGGAGAGTACAATAGGAACCCAAACTCCAGCTCCCTGCACCTCCCCCATGCTGGGGGGGGGGGGCACAGGGTGATACCACAGTAGGAATGGGGGGAATGGCCCACGCTGCAGCTGGGGGAGGGGGGGGAGGGGGGGAATGAGGCATCCTGGGACATCACCCCCCCAAAATAGAACTGACCTCAGGGCCCAGTGGGGTTAAAAATAGCCACGGTGGGGGGAGGGGTGGCCCAGGATTGTGCCCCCCCCCAATGGGCCTTTGGTGTGTCCCGTGTTCCCCCCTGGCACACAGAGACCCCCCCCCAATAGCTGGCTGTCCCTGAGGGTCACAGGGGGCTGGGAGGGTCGGGACCCGCTGCCCCCCCCCCCGCCCCCCCTCACCGTGGCACCGGTTTCTGCTTCTTGTCCTTTTTGCGCTTCTTTTTCCTCTTCTCTGGATCTGGGGGGGATTGGGTGGGGGTTATGGGGGGGTGTGTCAAGATCAGCACCAACCCAATGACCCCGAGTTCCCTCCCCCGCAGCCTCAGGAGCCACCTTCTCCCATCAGACACCCCCAAATGCAGGCCCCCTGTGCCGGAATCCCCCTTCCCCCCCCGCAATAACACCATGACCCCCCTATGACCCCCCCGCAGTGCCAAGACTCCACTTTCCCCTCAGGACCCCTCCTCAGACCCGACCCCCCCCCATAACCACCCCCAAACCCTCCCTCACGATCCCCTCACCCCCCCCACCGGGATCCCACCTTGCCCCTCACCCCCCCGATTCCCGTTCGCCCCCCCACCGGTCCTCGCGCCCGGCGCCGCCCCCCCGCGCAGCTCCATGCCGCTCTCTCCCGCTCTGCGCGTGCCTCTGAGCCCCCCGCTCCGCTGACTATGGCCCCGCCCACTGACCAATAGGAAGCCTCACCCGGACCCGAGGCCACGCCCCTTTCCCCGCCCACTGGTCGCCCTGGAGACGGAGCCGCGCAGGACCTGGCGCCCGTACCTCGTTATTTCCAGCGTCTCCTCGCCGTTGGCTCAATGGGGTTGGAAACGACTTTTAAGGGCACCAGATCCAAGCGTGCCCCAGCACTGCCGAGGCCAGCGCTCACCCACGGCACCGAGCGCCTCGGCTACAAGGGGTGTGAACACTTCCAGGGCCGGGGACTCCACCATTCCCTGGACAGCCTGCTCCAACGGATAAATCCTTCCCCATCTCCACCTACCCCCCCCCCTCCATCCGTACAGCTTGAAGCCATTTCCTCTTGTCCCATCGCTTGGGAACAGACAGCAGCCCCCTCACGGCTCCATCCTGCCGTCAGAGAGCGAGAGGGTCCCTCCTGAGCTTCTCTTCTCCGTCTAACCCCCAACCAGGCGCTGCACGGGGTCTATCGCCGCCCTAAAGCGACCCTGGGTGCCCGTCCGCCGCCTCCCGGCCCCGTTGGTCCCGAACCGGCGGCGCTGAGCGCGGGGCGGGCGCTGACAGGAGCCTCGGCAGGACCCGGCGTCCGGCCACCGACGCGCTCCGGAAGTGACGCTTCTGTCTTCTCTCTCTCTCTCTCTCTCTCTCCCCCCCCCCCCCCCCCATAGGTTCCCGCGGCCACTACATAATCAGAGCGCGACGTGTAACCATGGCAACTGCGCGGTAAACAGCCAGTGAGAGGGGACACCCCAAGGCCAGGCCCAAAGCAAAAGAATGGGGCAGGGGGCAAAGGGCATCACCCCTATGGAAGGACCCCCCTCATAGGGGCCAGAAGGAGCCAGCACCGACATCCCCCAAGCACCTGCCCCCCGCCCCCCCCACCCCACGCTGGGGAAGAGGCAGAGACAGGGTCGGGGGGGCTGCTGGGCATCAGTTTAATAACAGGGCACACTGGGGGAGGGGGGGGCAGCACCCCTATCCCCACAGCCTCCCCCACCCCTGGGGGCTGGGGGGGAGCACGGGATGCTCTGGGAGGAGGTGGGGAGGGCAGAGATGGGGACCCCCCCCAACAGCAAAACCCCATTGGGAAAGAAAGGGGAGATCCTAAACCAAAAGGACTCCCCCCACCCCATTCCACCCCCCACCTTCCTTCCAGCTGTAATATGGGGGGGACGGCTTCCATCCTCCCCACATCAGCAGAGCCAAGGCTCATCCCGCGGCGTCCAGCGCTGTCCCCCTCCCTGGTGGAAAGGGCGTGGAGGTTGTTGTCTGTGTGACCCCCCCCATAGTAAAATGCCTCCCCCCCACCTAGAGGTCCCTTGGGGGGGGGCCGGGGGGGTTGGGGGTGCAGTCCAGGGGTTCAATATCAACTCTTGTCGGTGGGGGGGTCTCTGTGGCGGGAGGTCTTCATGGTCTCCAGGTACTCCTGCTGTGACACGGCCAGCACCGATGCCAGGATCTCATCGTCCTCCCAGTCGTTGAGGCCTGGGGTGTTGTATATAGGTTACTATGGGACACACACACACAACATGACCCCCCCTGCCGTGCATTGTGCCCAAAGCGATAATGGGGAGGGGGAGCAGAGCTTGGTACCCCCACAGTGAAAAATGAGGCTCTGGGACATCTTCTCCCTCTCCAAAGTGCAATAAATGGGGATAAATCCCCCCCTAGAAAGAGCTTCTCCCCCCCAATCCACAGTTGAACCCCCAAAACCACACTTTGACCACCCCCAAACCATATCCCCCCCAAGTGAGATGTACCCCAATAAACACATCTCTAGACCCCCCTAAGTCTAAAGCACCTCCCAGTAAGAACCTGTAACTGCAACTTCCATCCCCCAGTTTGGGTCCCCCCCAGCTCACCGAAGGCAGTGGGGGACATCTGCTGCATGATGGCGCGGCATTCCAGCGCGGGATACAGGGACACCAGCGGGGGGGTGGCCCGGCCCCCCCCCGCCCCCAGCTGGCTGCTGGTCCCTGGAGCAGGGGGAGAAAGGGTCAGATACCAGGCCCAGGACCCCCCACACCCCATAGAGACCCAGCACACCCCTGGGGGGTCCCAGCTTGAGATTCCGAACACCCAGTTTAGGCTGCCTAGCACAGCTAAGCACCAAATTTGAGCCCCCAACAGATTCTAGCACCCAGTTTGAATCCACCAGCACCCCAGAGTACCCAGGTTGAGCTCCCTAGCACCTCTTAGTACCCAGTTTGAGTACCCCAGGACCCTATAGCACCCATTTTTGGGTTGCCAAAACCTCACAGCACCCAGTCTGGGGCCATAGAACCCAATTTGAGTTCCTCAGGACTCCATAGCACCCTATAGCGCACACTTTGAGACCCACCTGGGGCACAGGGCGATGGGGGTTTGCCAGCAGGGGGTGCTCCGGGTGAAGGGGGCTTGGGGCCAGGCGCCTCGGGGTGCAGACCGGGGTGCTCAGGTGATGGGGCCGCGCTGCGCGGGCGGGGCGAGCGCCCGCTCCACTCTTCCAGGCCGCTGGCGGCCGCTGCTGTGGCTGAGCTGCACGTGGCACTGGCCTTGCGGGGCTGCAGGGACACAGGGACCCATGAAACCCCCCATGCAGTGGTGGGGACACATGGGGGACTAGGAGGGACACCCACCTGCCGCGCCTGCTTCTCCTGGTCGCGCAGCCACTGCAGGTAGGACTCGCGGGCCACTTGCTCCTCGATGGCCTCGTTGGTGGCCTCCCAGTCCGTCGCCCGCTTCTTGTCCTCCAGCATCTGCTGCTCGATCCACGACTCTTCCGAGGTCTTGATGGCACTCTTCATCAGTGACTGCTCTGCCAGCTGGGGGCGGAGCCACGATGGTACACGCCCCCTGGCAGAGGCCACGCCCCTCTCCACACACCCTACAGCCTTGAGCCACTCCCCCATCCTCATACCAACCTATCAGTGGGGGCGTGGTCATACTAAGCCACATCCCCTTTGCGTGTGGTCTCTCAGCCACATCAAGGCACTCAGTCCGTGCAGGTGCAGGGGGTGGGGCCCTGATTGGCCACGACCACACGTTTAGACTTCGCCCATTGGACATCCCGCCCCCCGCCAAATAAGGCGGGTTCCACCTGGCCACACCGCCTCCCTGGCCCCACCCACACAGGGAGGGTAGGGCCACAGGACCCATAGAGCACCCCTGCCCCACGGCAATGCGGGGCCTGGGTGATTCCTGGCTTGAAGGAGGAGACCCCCCACCCCATGGCATTGAGGTCCCAGTGCCCTCCGGCCCCACTGACCCCCGGTTTGAAGGAGGGCAGCCCCAGCCCCACGCCGATGGTGGCCTTGTTAGGGTTGACGACGGAGTTGTAGTGGATGTTGCGGTGGTAACTGACCCGGATGGGTTCATCCTCGTTGTGCTGAATCCCGTGGAAGGTGTTGATGGGCTCTGTGGGGTACCCCATCAGCACACCGACACCCCAGCCACACAGGGGCACCCCCACAACACCACCCTTGGGGACCCCTTGGCCTGTGGGATGCACTCCCTAGCAGCAGAGACCCATAGGACCATCCCCAACCACCTGAGGCCCCTCTAGCAGCAATCTGGGGACCCCACATAAGCCCCAGTGGGGCCCCACAAGAACACCACATCTCCCTATGACCCCACAAGCTTCCCCAATTGTACCTTGAGGACCACAGAGACACCCCAGGAAGCCCCTCAGCCCCCCCATTATCTCTCTGGGGTCACCCCATCTATTCATTAAGCACCTTGGTACCCCCAGGACACCACAAGGACACCCTGGAGAAGCCCAGGAGCACCCTCCCAGCTCCTCTTGGACCCCGGTGCCCGCTGTACGCAGGGCCCCATGGGGCAGACGCACCAGTGCCGTACTGGTAGACCTCGACAGGGCGGTTGTACATCTCGGCCATGGCCTGCATCTCGATGTGGTTACCATGGCACGTGCTCTTGCGCTTGCGATTGATGTAGGTGGTGAAATCCTCTGTCACGTAGTTGGAGAAGTAGTCGGCATTCTTCATCTACCCAAAAAGTGGGACATGGGGGGGGGGGGTTAGGGAACAGCAAGGGACATGTGGGGCAGCCCCATGGTGGCAAAGGGACACTGGGAGGGGGTGGTGTGGTGGAGCATGAGGTTACCCTGGGGACCTGAGGCCATCAGGGACATTAGGAAGCACTAAGGAGGAAGGGGGCAGAGCATCCAAACTGCCTCCCAATGCTCCCTGCACCACCCCTGCACCATCCCAGGGCCTCCCAGTACCCCTCAATCCCTTCTTGCTGCCCCCCAGTGTATCCTTACACACTCAAGAGCCCCCGAGCCCCTCACCAGATAGTCCATGCAGTGCTTGCGCACCACCTCGTGCATGTCCTGGTCTCCGTAGACCTGGTCGGCTGACGGGGGCACAAAGGGGGTGGCATCAGCTGGTGCCCACAACAGCAGGGTGCAAAAGGGGAAGAGGGAACGCATGGGGATTGGGGGGCGCAGGGCTCACCCACGGCCCGGAACAAGCAGGCTCCATCCTCCTTCATGCGCTTGATGATGAAGCCTTTCTTTTCCCGCAGTGCCTTCTCGAACCAGTGCTCCTGCTGGAGACACAGCCGGCTCGGTGCCGGGGCACCACGGACCCCCCGGGGGGCACGGGGGGCCCTTCACTGCATGGCGATGATGGGGATCCATGGGTGATGCAAGCACATGGGGAGGAGGGAGGCACACAGACCCTGGGGAACCCCAATCACCCCATGGTGTCCCCGACTCGTTCAGCCGCCCCCAGTGCCCCCCGCACCTGCTCGGCCGTGGCCGGGTCCAGCTCCACTCTCCCGGCCTCGTACTCGTCCTCGCTGTTGTAGCCACCTCCCGTCTCATCGGGGCCGGGGCTGCCACCGGGGCCCAAGCCCAGCGCCAGCCCCACGGGGCCGCCGCAGCCGGGGCCTCCTCCGCCGGGGCCTGCGCTGGGGCCGGCCCCTCCTCGCCGCCGCCTCTTGCTGTGCCCGGGGCCACCTCCTCCTCCGCCGCCGCCGGGCCCGCGGGGCTCGGGCAGCCCCAGCGCGGCCGCGTCCAACCCAAGCAGCGCCGCGGGGCCATCCCCAGGGCCGGGGCCGCCTCCAACGGGGCCTCCAGGGCCGGCGGGAGGGGGGGATCCGGCGGCGGGAAGCCCGGCCCAGCCCCGCAGTGGCGGCGGCGGCGAGGCCCTGGGCCGCGGCCCCCCACCCCGCCAGGGCCTCCGGGCTCGCCAACGCCGCCGGGGCCGCGCTCGGGGCCTCCGTCCGCACCGCGCTCGGGGCCGGCGTCCGGGCCCGAATCAGCGTCTCCGTCGGGCGCCGGAACCGGCTTCTTCTTCGGGAGGATCGTCATGGCGGGGAGCGCATGGGGGGGGGGCGGCGGGACGGGACGGGACCGGACCGGGGGGGGGGGGACCAGACCCCCCCGGGGCGGCGGCGCGCGCGGAGCTGTCGGGGCGCGGGGCGCTGCCGCCGCCGGGCCCGTGTCAACATCAACAGCGGCGCCCTCTGACCCCGCGCCGCGCTTCCGCCTCGCCCGCCGTCGGCGCTCCCATTGGCTGAAGCCGCCGACACCGCGTTCTCATTGGTTGGAAGCCGGGGAGGAAGTCCCGCCCGAATGGAGAATGGAGAGGAGAGTGGAGGGGGAAAGAGGCGGGACAGGCGTTGCCCTGGAGACGGCGCGGCTGCTCGCGAATTGGGTGGACGGAGCGGAGGGGGCGGGTCGAGGGTGGAGGGAGTGCACGCTGATTGGGTGGAGCTCTGGGAGGCGGAGGGGGGGTCAACGAGAGCGGGCTCTGATTGGGCTGCGGAATAAGAGGCGTGGCTCAAGGGAGAGCGCGGGCGACTGTTGGCTCCCTGCGGAGGCGGGACTTAGTGAAGGACAGAGTGCTGATTGGGCCGTGACGACGGTGGAGCTGACGCTGATTGGGCAGCGAGGGGAAGGCGGGACTCCAGGGCAGAGCGCGCTCTCATTGGCTGCCGCGCCACCAACTTCAGCACGCTGGTGATGGGCGGGATTAGTGTGAAGCTCCCAATGCCGATTGGTCTGAGGGAGGCTTAACCCTCACATTGGCCACATCAGGCGACCTAATTTCCCACTGGCTGAGGAGCGCCAGCGCCGAAGGACACGCTCTCTCCATTGCCTCCTCCCAATCACCTGTCAGTCTCCATTAGGCCACGCCCCCGATACCACCACCCCTCCCCAGCACAGACCCAGGGATCCAATCTCAGCTCCTTTATTAACACCCATCACACAGCCGCAGTTACCGTGTGACCCCCCAGCCCCCGGGACCCAGGGGTCTGGCCCCACATCCCTGAGCTCATGGGGGGCCCAACACAAGCGCCAGGACACCCCTGAAGTCCCTGGAGAATGCCAACACCCCCTCCCTCAGTGCTGCCCCATGGGGGGAGATCTGGCACCTAGGTGTTGTAGAGAGGAGCCTTTGGCACCCGTGGTCAGTGGCTCTTGTGGCGGGGCCGGTCGAGGGCTCTCTGGGCAGCAGCAAGGTGGCGGCAGGAGTCGGCCAGGAGGGCACAGGGCACCAGCACCCACACCCCGTTCAGTCCCACGAAGTAGCCCCAGAAGTAGAGGGGCCGGGGGTCGCTGTGGCTCCAGCCTGCCAGCGCCTCCGTGGCAAAGTACAGCACGTCCCCATAGAGCTGCCCTGTGTGTGGGAGGAAGATGCGGTTGGGGATAGGAGGGTGGCTCTGGGGACATGGGAGGGGTGGTCCCGAGCGTACCGAGGGAGACAAGGAGCTGCAGGATGTAGCGGGCTGGATGGCGGCGCAGGAGGGCGAGGAAGGTGAGGAAGCTGAGGGGTCCCCAGGCCCAGGCTGTCACCGTCTCCATGGCAACCGTGAAGTCATCGCTCCTGGAAGGAGGGAACAGACAGAGCAGGATGAGCCGGCACCCATGGACACCCCCTCCCCACCCAGCCCCTGCCCCTACTCACGTCATGTACCGGCTGTCGGCTTTGGCATACTCCTTCCCTGCGGGCAGTGTGGGGTTAGTGGATACCACACCCCTCCTGGCCCCCCAACCCCATCCCAAGGCCAGGGAACCCCATACCCATACATTGACCCCCCCAAAGGGCACCCAGCCCGGGTCCCCGGCCATTGCCGTGCCCCGTCCCGGTCCTCACAGACGTCGGCCAGCAACCCGGTGGTGCGGGGCAGGTCCCGGTGCCTGAGGCTGAAGAACCCCTCGAGCACTCCATGGATCCCGGTGCACATGAGGAACCAGCCCAGCGCCAGGCGGTGGGCGAGGCTCCGAGAAGCCCCGCCCCTCGCCCCACCCAGCAGCCAACCAAGCGCCAGCAGCCCCACCGCGGCCACGCCCACCGCGGCCGCGCACTGCCATCCAGGGAGCGCGGCGGCGACGTAGCCCGGCAACGGCAGCGAGCGTGGCCAATAGGGGTGCGCCGTCGTTGTCGTCATGGCAACGCCGCGGCGGTCACCGCTGCTCTGGGAGGGGATGGCGGAAGTAGGGTGAGGGAGCAGGAAGCGGGACCCCACCGCCCAGCACCTGCCCGGTCTTCTCCCCGCACGCCCCCACCGGCCCCAGCACCGGCCCGGTCCCTCCAGCGCCGCTCCGGTGCTCCCCCCGCCGCGGCCCCCCTTCACCCGTGCTCCCGCCCTCACCTCAGCCGCTCCGCGCCGCTCTCCCGTGCTCCGCCAGCCCCGCTCCTCTCCCTCCGCCGCGCCCGCGCCGCCCCCAGCCAATGGCAGCGCGCTGCAGGCGGCCTGGCCAATCGCGGCGCGCACCGCCCGCGGCCTCTGCCCGCTGATTGGCTGCTCCCGCTTCTGGGGAGATGTGGAGCCAGGGGGAGGAGTCGGCTTGGTGATAGGGCGGGGCTTACCTTAGGGGAGGGGTTAAACGGGGGGGCCTGGGCTTCACCCCGGGGACGGGGCTTACGTCCACTGAGGCTCTCCCCATGTTCCCTATAGGACCCATGGGCACTGCCCGGTCTATAGGGCCCTGCGGACCCCCACTGGAGTCCATAGGCTTCCTCCCATGGGCCCTATAGACCTCCTCCTGGCTGTACAGGAGCTGCATGGACCTGCTCTGCAAGGATGTAAGAGGGCCCACACAGAACTCCCACCAGCGACATAGGGACAGCGCTGGGGCACATATAGATGTCTTCAGGGGTTCATATACCCCCCCAAGGGGCCATAGGTGCCCTGTACATCCCGCCGACACTGTGTAAGTGATCCAGCCCTGTTCCGAAGGTGCATAGTATGTAAGAGAGTCCTCTTGCCCCCCTGCCCATAGGAAGGTATGGCATCCATATGGGGCCACACAAGCAGGGAGAACCCCCCTGAAGAAGGAGCCAGGCAGGTCAATGAATGGTAGCAGATCCCTTGTATTGAACCCATCTGTGCCCCCCACCCCAGCCGGATCCCGCTCTCGTGGGGGGGGGCATGCGATGGGGGCCCCCCCAAAGCGGCAGCTCGCCAGGAGCGGCCGGGGGGGGGCAGGGTTGGTGGGGGTCATGGAGCGGTCAAAGGGGAGGGGGTCACACCAGGGTGCCAGGGGGCTGTGGGTCCGGGGGGGGTGGAGGGGGGGCGGGAACAGGTGGGGGGTCCCCTGAGACCCTGTGGGGGTGGGGGAATGAGGGAGAGACAGAAAAAGGAGAATAAAAAGGAGGAAAAAGAGGGAAAAAAAAAGAGAGAAGAAAAACAGGAATTAGCCCACTGAAATAGCCCTGGACCCCTCCGTGTGTCGTGTCCCCCCCCCCCAAGCCAGGGATAGGGACTGCCCCCGGAACCCAAGAGCTCAGCACAGATAAGAAAAGGGGGGGCAGGAGAGACCCCCCCCCCAGAAAGGGACAATGGAGAAGAGTGGGGGAATAGGGCAGAGACCCCTGAAATGGGGGGGTCTGGGGGAGGGGAGGGTCTGGGGTAGTGATAGGGGAGCCCATAGGGGTGGTTTGAAGGGGTTTGAGGGGTCCCCAATTTGGGGATATTAAGGATGGGACTGGGGGGGGGCAAGGGGAGGGCAACCAGGAGCTATTGATGCCCTCACCCCATAAGGGGGCCCAATTCACCCTTGACAGCCCCAATGGATGGGGGGGGCACCCAATGGACACCCCCAAAGGACGGGGGAGGGGGGCACCCAATGCGTCCCCAACACCTATTCCCCCCTTAGAACAGGGGTGCCCGGTACCCACGGGGGTGGCCATACCTGGGCGCCAGGGCCCCGGCGTAGCTGAGCGAGTGGGGAAGGCCGGGAGGGGGGGGGTCTCTGCGGCGGGGAGCGCCCCATGCGGGGCCGGGGGGGGGCAGCAGGCGGGGGGGGGTCCCTGTATGCCGCAGGTACCAGTCCCGCAGCCCCTCCAGTGCCAACCACTTCTGGCTGCGGCGCTGCTCTGCCGAGGTGGGGGGCACGGGTTGGGGGGGGGCAGCGCTGTCGGGGTGCGGGCCTCCCCCCCCGCTGCCCCCCCAGTCGATCAAGGCCTCGGAGCTGTTGCTGCGGCGGGTGCGGGGCGCCTGGGCAGGGGGGGGTGGCACTGGGGGCCCCCCCAACTGTGAGTCCTGGCTGCCCGACCAGGGCCGGGGGGGCAGCCCCGGGGCCTCGGGGCTGGTGGGGGGACACAACAGTGAGAGAAACCCCCGGATCCTCCCCCATACAAGTGCCCCATAGATTCCCCATACGGCCCCAGCAAGCTCTTAAATTATCCCATAGCGCCCCTAAATTACTCTATAGACCCCTTAAATTGCCCCATGGGCCTCCCTAATTTCCCCACAGATCCCCCAAATTACCCCAACCATAACCCCCCAGTTGCCCCACAGCCCCCCCAGTCACCCTCCATGACCTATCCCTGATACCCAGCAGCACCCACCGGCACAGTGGGTGCCCGCGGGTGCAGGGGCTCCGTGCCAGCACTGGGGTGGCTGGGACGCTGCGGCCCTCGAAGCTGGATGCGCTGCGGGGCAAGGTCCGTGCCGGGCTGGGGAGGGGGCAAAACATCACATCAATGGGGCGACAGGGACCCCCAGGTGGGTTCTGTGGGGTTCTATGGGGGACACACACATACGTACCTGGCAGGGCTGGCGAGTGAGCTGCGGCGCCCATCGGAGGCCCAGGGGGGCCGGTGCTCAGGGCTGCCGGGACTGGCTCGGGGGGGTGAGGGGCGGCCAGGGGCCACTGGGGTGGGCTTTGGGGTGGGCAGGGCCCCTGGAGAGAGGGGACAGCGGTGAGGCACAGGCACACCCCCAGACAGGCTGCAATTGCCCCATGGCCTCCCCCAGTCACCCCACAGCCCCCAGTCCATCACTCACCATTCTCCAGCATAGGCAGATCACAGAGGGACCCGTTCTCATCTGGGGAGGTTGAAGAGGGGGGATCAGTGTCAATGGGGACCCCCCAAACTTGCCCCCCCCCAATGCTCTGGGACTCCTGTGCCCCCTGCCCTGTGCTTTGGGTACCCCCAGGTCCTCTCCATGGGTCTGGAGACCCCCATGTCCCCCTCTGGTTCTATGGGGACCCCCCAACTGCTCCCCCCTTGCTATAAGACCCCCCCCAGGTGCCCCCGCACCGTTGCCGGGTCCCAGCTGCGCTCGGAGTTGCCGCAGCCTCTGCGCCGCCTCCGCCTGCAGCCGCTGCCGCCGCCGGCGCTGCTCGGGTGCGAGTCCCGGGGCCGCCGCCAGGCGCCGCGCGGCCTCCACCACCTGCACCTGCAGCGCCACCTCCCGGCGGGCCGAGCGCGGCGCCTGCGGGGAAGCGGCGGGGATGGGGATACCAGGGGATGGGCACAAGGACAGAGACAGGAACAGGGGTACCACGGGACACGGGGTGGGATGAAGACAGGGACAGAAATGGGGAAACAGTGAGCACAGGGCAGGGGACACCATGGCACAGACAACACCAAAGGACAGGGAGAGCACAGGGATAGCGTAGGGCAGGGGCAGCATGGGATAAGGTCAGGGACACGGACATCAGAGGACAAGAACAGGAACGCCAGAGGGTAGAGACAGGGGCAACATGGGATAGAGACCGCAACAGTGACAGGGATATCGATATCAAGAGAAAAGAACAGAGTGGGACAAAGGACACAACAGGAACATGGGCACAGACAGGGATGGTGTGGGATGGGGACAGGGCCGCAACAGGGACAAGGTCAGCATGGGACAGGGACAAGGATTGTGCCAGGGATAGGGACAGGAACACCAGGAGACAAAGGCAGCACGAGACAGGGATGGGTACAGCAAAGAATAGGGACAGCGTGGGACAGGAACACGTGGGGGCCAAGATGTGTCCCCCACAGTGGGGGGGCACATTTTGGCCTCCCCCCCTCTCCCTGCCAGCCCCTTGTGTCCCCCCCTATTGCCCCTCACTTACCTCAGGGAGGGGGCCTCGGGGGGGGGCCCGGCGGCGGGGGGGGGGGGCCTGCGGCCGCTCCCCAGGCTCCAGTGGGTACTCGGGGGGCAGCTTCCCCGTCAGCTCCTGTGCACAGGGGGGGCCATGGGGGGCGTGGGAGGGGAAGGGGGGGGCTCATTGGGGGGGGGCGGGGGGGATGGTGGGACAGGAATGTGCCAATGGGGAGGGGATGGGGGGATTCCTTAGGGAGGGTCAGGAGGGGATGGGAGGGATCATTGGGGGGGTCTGGGGAGTGGATGGGGGCTGTCAGGAAGCTGTGGGGGGTGATGGATGCAATGGGGGGTGATGGAGGGGTGATGCAGAGGGGATGGAGTGCAATGGGGGGGGCAACGTGGGGGTCCCAGGGGAGTCACTCACGGCCTCCTGCAGGCAGAGGCGCCGCAGTTCCCGCAGGCGCAGCCCCAGTGCTTGACGCAGCCCCCGCTGCCGCTCCCGCAGCTCCTGAAGCCGCCCCGCGACAGGGCCTGCACCGGGACCAGCATCAGCATTAGCACCGTGACACTGCTGCAGCACCGGCACCCTGACACCTCCTCAGCACCGGTACCGGGACTGGCACCGGGACGGCACTGGCACCCTGACACCGCCACAGCACCGGGACCGGGATAGCACCGGTATTGTTAGACCGCATCAGCACCGGCACCGGCACCCAGACAGCACCGGTACCGTGACTCTGCCTCAGCACCGGTCCGGGTACCAGCGCGGGCACCACGGTCAGAGGTACTAGGACAGGTAGCACCGGTGCAGGGGTCAAGGGTCATCATGGGTCACCGGAACAGAGGTCAGGGCCATGGTGTCAGGTCAGAGGTCAAGGGGCACCATGGACAGGAGTCACGATGACCACAGGTCAGGGTCCCCACAAGCTACCAGGGGACAAGGGGCACTTGGGGTCTCCAAAGGGCAGAGGTCAGGGGCACCACAAGACACCAGTTGTCAGAGGTCACGTACCTGCGGGGCTGTGAGTGCCGGGGGGCAGGATGTGGCCCCTCAGCTCCATCCCATGGGGGGGTCTGGGGCCCCCGCCCCTGAGCTGCTGCAGGGGTCAGAGGTCGGGGGTCAGGGGTCAGTGCCCAGCCCCATGTCCCTGCTCCTTTTTCTCCACTTCCGCCTCTGGCCCCTCCCCTCCCCCCCACCGCCCCTCAACGACCCCATAAAGGATCCGGGGCCCCCTCCCAAACGGCTTCCGGTTCCCCCCCCATTGACCAACGGCCGGGTCTCCCCCCATTAAAAGCCCTCGGGGTCCTCCCCCATAAGGACCCATTGCCGGGACCCCCCCAAAGGGCCTTCAGCTCCCCCCCCTCCCGAGGGACCAATGAATGGAGCCCCCCGCTCAAAGGGCTTCCGGGTGCCCCCCATTGCCGCAGGCCCGAGGCTTCCCCCGGCCCCACGACGAGGGCGGGGGGTCCCCGTTTCCCACATTGCCCCGGGATGCCCCGTCCACACCTCACCTCCGGGGGGTCCCGGTGCTGGGAGGGTCCCGGTGTCGGGGGGGGGCCCCGCTCCCCCCGGGGCTCGGGCGCTGCTGTGGCGGCGGCCCCGGTTCCTCTCAGGCCTGCGCGGGGCACGGGCGGGTGTCGGGGTCCCCCCTGCGGCACCCCCGCCCCGTGATGTCACTTCCTGCCCGCCCCCCCTCCCCTTGGCGCTTCCTGCCCCAGCCCGAAAGAGCTGGAGTGGGGCAACGGGACCCATAGAGACTCCCCCCGGCCCCGTAGGGACCCGTAGAGACGCCCCCGGCCCCATAGGGACTCCTCGCGCTCCGCAGCCCCCCAGGGCCCACAGCGATTCGCAGCCCGTCCTGCCCCATAGAGTCCCCCAGCACCATAGGGACTCCCCCCCCCAGGCTCTTTCAGACCCATAGCGTGTGTCCCGTCCCGCCCCCCCCGGCCCCATAGGGAGCTGCTGAGCGGCGCCGTGGGGCGCGGGGGGGGGCGATGTCCCGTGGGGCGACCGAGGGGACCCCTGCCGCCCCGCCGTCCCCCGGGCGCCCGACGGTCTATGTGTTGCTGGAGGGGCCCAGCACCCCCGACACCCTCCGGCTGCTCAGGTGAGGGGGGGCTGCCCCATGGCGGAGCTGGGGGGAGGTTACGGGGGGTTAAGGCGGGACTGATGGGGGCTGTGGTGCCACTGGGGGGCTCAAGGGACGTGTGGGGGGCTATGGGGCTGCTGGAGTTTTATGGGGGGCCATGGGGCTGCTGGAGTTTTATGGGGGGCTATGGGGCCCCCATATGGGGGGGCTGTGAGAGTCTGTGGAGGTCTGTGGGGTGCTGAGGGGGTCTGTGGGGGCCTATAGGGGGCTCAGGGGTTCTGTGCGGAACTTCAGGAGGCTGTGGGGCCGCTGGGGGTCTGTGGAGAGTCAGGGGGTCTGTGGGGTGTTTAGGGAGTCTGTGGGGCCCTGTAAGTGGTCAGGGGGGGTCTGTGTGTGTGTCTGTGGGGTCTCAGGGGTTCTCCGGTGTCTCAAGGCACTCTATGGACTCTATGGAGTCTATGAGGCATTCAGACCTGTCCATGCTCCCTCTGGTTCCTGCTCCCCCGCAGCCTGAGCTCCGTGCTGCCTGAGTCAGGGATCGTGGCTGACATCGAGTGGGACCCCCCGGGGGTAGACCCCCCCAGCGACCCTCCCGTGGCCCCCCCCTCTGGAGACTCCCCCAGCACCTTCTATTGTCTCAAGAGCCAACCCCTGCCCCACAGGTACCTGTGAACCCCCCCATAACCCCCCATCCCCTCTATACACCCCCATTAACCCCCCCCCGTATTGCAGCCCGGGCCCGGCCCCCCCTGCTGCCATGGCTGCCCCCACCGCGGCTCCCCCCTCATCGCGGGTGCTGCTGCGGCAGCAGCTGATGCGGGCACAGGCACAGGAGCAGGAGCAACGTGAGCGAAGGGACCCCCCCCCTGGCCCCTCGCCGGCCCCCGGGCCTTCCCCCGCCATCGCCGTGGGGGGGCCCCCCCAACCGCGGGCACCCCCCCATGTGCCCCCTGAGGTGCTCAAGGTGAGACCCCCCCCCCCCCATAGGGGGACATGGGGTGAGGTGGGGGCGTGAGCTGTGGGGTGAAATTGGGGGGGACAGGGGGATATGGGGAGGTCTGTGGAGCAGGGGGATGGGGGGGGGCTCTGGGGCAGAGGGATATGGTGGGCTGTGGGAAGGGGGTCCCTGACCCCCCTTGTGTACCCCCAGGTCCAGACCCACCTGGAGAACCCGACCCGGTACCACCTGCGAGCGGCGCAGCGGCAGCAGGTCCGGCAGTACCTCACCTCTGCACTGGGCCGCGGGCCCCCCAGCCCCCCTGGGCCCCCCCCGGCCCCCCCCGCACCCCACAGCCCCCTCACCCTGCTCCACATCGGGCCCGGCTTTGAGAAGGAGGTGAGGAATGGAGGGGGCTGCGGGGGGGGAGGCTGTGATGTCATATGGGGAGCTGTGATATGTGGGGGGCCATAAGGTAATATGAAAGGCTGCAATGTCACATGGGGTGGGTGTGTTGTCACATGGGAGGGCTGTGATGTCACATAGAATGATTGTGATGTCATAGAGGGTGGCTGTGATGTCACATGGGGGGACTGTGATGTCACATGGGGGGACTGCAATGTCACATGGAGGGCTGTGACATCACACAGGGTGGCTGTGATGTCATGCGTGGGGGGATCCTGGCCACCAGGGTGGTGTTTGCAGTTTTGTCCTTTCTGCTCTGCAGATCGATGATGTCATTGATGAGATCATCAGCCTCGAGTCCAGCTATGACGAGCTGCTCAGCTTCGGCCCCGCCGAGGGCGGCCTCCAGCTCCCTAGCACGGTGTGTGGCCGCTTTAAGGGCTTTTGAGGGCGTGGCCTGCCGCAAGTCGCGCCCTTTTTCACCGGGGGGGCGTGACAACACGCCTCATTGGCTGCAGCCGCAGTGGGGGGGGGGGGGGGGGGGGCATAGCCCCGCCTATCGGGAGTGAGCTATTGGGGGGTGGTTTATGGGGGCGTGACCTTGCTGACCACGCCCCCCCCGGTAGCTCCCGGCCCCTGCGCCCCTGCTGGAGGTGTTCAGCCCCCCCCAGGGAGGCAGCAGCTCCTGCCCGGCCGAGCTGCCCCGCGTCAAGGCCGAGCTTTCAGGTATGGGGGGACCCTAAGGGGCTTACTGGGGGGAGGGGTCTGGGAGGGGTGGTGTCACTATGGTCTGTGGGGCTGTGTGAGGGCTATGGGGCAGGGAAGGGCGTCAAGGGTCCTATTGGGTGTGTGTGGGGGCCTTTCTGTGTCTGGAAGGGGACTGAGAGGGGTTTCCCTCTGGGGTGTGGGAAGGCCCTGGGGATCACTGTGCAGCAGAGAAGGCTTGGGGGGGAGCTAGGGTGTCCCTATGGGTCAGGGAGGTGCAATGGGGCCCCTATGGGGCGGGAGGCGTTGGGCTTCCCTTATAGTTCCAACCCCAAACTTTTTCAGAAACGGAGGCGAAGGCGTTGCTGAAGGAGCGCCAGAAGAAGGACAACCACAACCTGAGTGAGCACGAGGCCTGGGGGAGGTTGTGGGTCTGGGTAGAGGGGGACACGCGTAATATGAGGCTCGCACCTTCCCCTTTTATCCCAGTTGAGCGACGCCGACGCTTCAACATCAATGACCGTATCAAGGAGCTGGGGACCCTCATCCCAAAATCCAATGATCCGTGAGTGGGGATACCCCTCCCTGATGGATCTAATGGTTGGGGGCACTGAGAACCCTATGTGGGTTGTAGGAGGGTCCCTATGGTGGCCCCAACAGCGTCCCGATACCATAGGGAGATGCGCTGGAACAAGGGCACCATCCTGAAAGCCTCAGTGGATTATATCCGGAAGCTGCAGAAGGAGACGCAGCGTTCTCGAGAGCTGGAATTGCACCAGCAGCGCCTGGAGCAGGCAAACCGGAGCCTCCAGCTCCGGGTCCAGGTCTGTGGGGTTGCTCTATGGGGCTGGGAAGGGGAAAACTGGGGGGTGTGTGAGACTGGGATGGGAGTCTACAGGTTCCGGGGGGGCTATGGGGCTGGGATGGGCAGAAGTGGGGGGTTCTGGGCTTGTTATGGAGCTGTCAGCTCACTACAAGGGAGTGCACATGGTGTCAGGGGGAGCAGAGTTGGGGAAATAGGAGGGTTGTTGGGAGAATTGGTTGGGATCTAGGGGTATCTCTGGGTCTGAGGGCTATTTTGGGGCCCATGGCAGGTGTTTGGGGCCCATGAGGGGGTTTGGACCCCATGTCTCTCTAACCCCGCTGCCTCCCCCCAGGAGCTGGAGCTGCAGGCACAGCTCCATGGGCTCCCCCTCATCCCTCCGCTGGCACCAGCAGCCGAGGGGGGGTGTGAGGAGGCCCCTGGGGGCCCCCCTTTCCCCCCCGGGGGCCCCCCCACGCCCCAGTGCCTCCTAGACCTGGCGGTGGCCGAGGACCTGCCCCCCGGCCTGGGCCTACCCCTGGGGCTAGGTGGGCCAGATGGGACCTTCGATGACATCCTCATGGACGAGGGGGGGGCTCTGTCCCCTCTCGGACCCCCTGGCGCCCTCCTCGCCTCCCCGGGCCCCTCCCGCGCCTCCAGCCCCCGCAGCAGCCTCAGCATGGAAGACGAGCCCTGAGCGCTGCCCCTTTAAGACCCTTCAGGTGCGGCCCTTTTAAGGCCCCCACCCCACCATGCCCGACACCCCGATGGTTGGTTCAGGAGGGCCCCCCAGGGTGCCGTGATGAGGCTTTTTAAACGGGCGAGCGTTGCTTAAGGCTGGCAGTGGCCTTAAGGTGTGGCCACTGTCTTGCCCTTTTAGGACGCCCCATTGGTGGACCCACCTTGAGGGACCTCAACCGGGCATCGCCCATTGGCGAGGTCCTCCCACTGTGTGGCCCTTTTAAGGTGTCTCCTTGACCCCGCCCCTCAGGGAAGCCTTGGCCCCAACCCCGTCGGGCCCCGCCCCTTCCTGGCTGTCTGCCTATCAGCGGGCTCCTGAGGGCTGGGCCCTCAGTGTCACGTCCCGCCCCTCTCTTTTGGCACTCACACAAACCCCGCCCTCTCCTGCTGACCCCGCCCACCGGCTCCTCTTAAAGGGGCCGCTCACCCGCTACCCCCCCCCCCCCCCCCCCGGTTTTGTACGGAAACGGTCCCGTGGGAAATAAACGTTTGTTAACGAGGAGCCGCCCGGTGCTGTGTGTGCGTGTTGGGGTTTCTGTAGAGCTTGTAGGGTCCTACGGACTCTATAAATCCAGGGGGATCCCTATAGAGCAATCTGTAGGGGAGCCTGTAGAGCTTGGGGGTCGCTGAAGGCGGTTTGCGATCCCTGGGGCTGTGATACGTGGGGGGCTGTATGGCCCCTGTAGATCTGGGGTGTGGTGTCCCTGTGACCCCTATAGAGGCAGATCTGTAGCATCCATAGGCGCCTTACGGGCTCTGCGGAGCCCTACAGCCCGGGGGGGGCGGGGCTATAAGGGCTTTACGGGCACGCGGAAGTCATCGTTATGATGAGCCATGCCCGCTCCACCCCGAGCTCCATGAGCACCGTCGTGACGCCATTTCCGCGCCGCCGGAACGGGAGGGGGCGGACCCCGACGGCGCCGCCCGCGCGCCAAGATGGCGCAGGCGCTGTCGGCGGAGGAGTTCCAGCGGATGCAGGTGAAGCCTCGGCCGCGCTCGGGTCCGGTTCGGGTCCCGCTCGGGCCCCGTTCGGGTCCGGTTCGAGTCCCGTTCGGGTCCGGTTCGGGTCACGCTCGGGCTTCGTTCGGATCGTGCTCGAGTCCCGCCGCCGCCGCTCACCCCGTCCCGTCTCCGCCAGGAGCAGCTGCTGCAGCTCCGGAGTGAGAACTACCGCCTCTCGGACGAGCTGCGGAAGAACGGCGCTGGTACCCGGGGGGGGGCCGTACCGGGAGGGGATGGGGTCCTGGCGCTGCCGCTCAAGGCCCGTTCGTGTCCGTGTCCCCCCCCCAGAGCTGTCGGCGCTGAGGCAGCGGGTGCAGGCGCTCGACCGGGACCTGGCCAAGGCCAACAAGGTGAGAGCGGCCCCTGGCGGGTCCTCGGGGCGACCGGCCCCGGTGTGGCCCTTCTGGGCCCGGTGTGACCGCCTCCGTTTGTCTCGTAGGCCCTCAGTAAGAGCAAGAAAGCGCAGGTGGGTGCTGGGGGATGGCAGTGGGTGCTGTGGGTGCCTGTGGGTGCCTATGGGTGCTGTTGTGCCCTGCAGGAGGTGGAAGCGCTGCTGGGCGAGACACGGATGCTGCAGGGGAAGCTGCAGAGCCAGGAGGATGATTTCCGGCTGCAGAACAGCACCCTCCTGCGGGAGCTGGCCAAGGTGGGTGCTGGCACCCAGTACCCCACCCCCCACCCCGTCCTAATGCCCTCCTGAGGCCCCCAGTGCCACCGTAGAGTCCTGAATGCCTCCCAGTGTCAGCCCCCATAGACACCCTGAGTAACCCATAGACCCCCCCATACCCCCTACAGTCCCCCCATACCTCCTTGGGGTTCCCACCTTGGCCTCACCCCAAGGAGGGGGGGTATTCAGCTCTGTGCACAGATCGAGGGCCTGGAGCAGGAGAACCGGCGGCTGCAGGAGGGGGGAGCCCCAGGACCCCCCCCGGACCCTCCCCAGGATGGGGCCACTGGTGACAATGGAGCCCCTTTGGCCCATACAGATGGTGAGGGGGTACTTGGGGGGGGGTTCTGGGGCCCTATAGAGGGGTTATGGGACTGACCCTCCCCTTGCAGCCCCCCTGAACCCCCCCAAGGAGCCACCACCAGCTGAAGAGGGGACTGGGACTGATGCTCCCCCCCCAGCACCTCAGGTACATTGGGGGGAGTGTATGGGGGTCTGTGGGCTTTATGTGGGGTCTGTTGCAGGATGCACACCTTTCTGGGGGGGGTTCTTGCAGGCAGAGGTGGCCCAGCTGCAGGCAGAGGTGGCTGAGGTGAGTGCTGCAGCCCCCCAGGGAGTTTGGTGGTGTCCCTTAGAGACTGGGGGGGGTTCAGTGTCCCATAGGGATTGGTGGATACTCTCTGGGGAGGGAGGGCTGAGGGGGCTGATTCCCCCTCCACAGTAGTGATTCGTGTATCCCCATTCCCAGCTGATGGAGAAGCTGCGGAAGCAAGAGAATAGGTGAGATCCTGCGATCCCGTCACTAGGGAGTGCATCCCTGCTTCCCCCAGCCCCCGCCATAGGCTTTTCCTGCTTCCATTCCCTATTTCCCCCTCTTTTCTCTCCCAGTTCACTCCAGATGGAAGTGGAGAAGGAGACATTGCTCAGGGATCAGCAGTGAGTGACCCCAATGGGGACCCCGTTTGGTATGCTGGGAACCTCCCAGTGCCTGGACCCTCCCTTTTGCCCCCAAGGCTAGAGCTGGAGAAGCTTCGGGCTCAAAGGGATGAGGAATTCCGGGAGCTCCAGACCCGGATCCAGCAGCTGCAGCAGGAACTGGAGGCCGCAGCCAAGGTGGGGCCACCCAGTGGTTGCTGGGGGGGCTCCAGTGGCTGCCCTATGGTATAGGGGTTCCTGGGGAGCACTTTAGTGTGCAGGGGGAGTTCTGGACCAGCTCCATAGGGGATCTGTAGAGTGTCTCCAGCCCTATATAGTAGCTGGTGGTCCCAGAGCAGCCTGGAGCATCTCTATACAGCTCCATACAGCTCTGGGCAGCTCTGCTGGGCCCTATAGGGCCCTATAGAGTGCTGTGTGGGGTGACAGGAGGAGGTGGGGCTGCGGGAGCGAAGTGGAGCCCTGGCCCGGGACCTGCAGGAGGCTCAAGCACAGCGTGATGCTCTCGACAGCCAACTCCAGGTAGGGCTGGGGTCCCTATGGACAATTTGGGGTCCCTGGGGGGTGGTTTTGGGTCTTTATGGCTTGGTTTGGAGCACACAGTGGATACACATGCGTAATAGCTGCACGTGCATGTATGTATATGTACACATATGTATGTGTATGTTCATGTATGTATGCGTATATGTAGATATGGACATGAAGGTAAATGCACGTGTATGTAGGTGTAGCCGTGTACACAGATGTACATGTATGTATATGTAGGTGTAGGTATGTACACGAATGTACATGTATGTGTATGTACATGAATGTACACATATGTAGGTGTAGATATGTACATGAACATACACGTATGGACACATGTGTCCTGCAGGCGTGTGTGGAGGAGCGGGAGGGGCTGCGGCAGCGCCTGAGTGAGGCTGAGGCCGCCTGGGAGGAGAGTGAGCGGCGGCGGCAGCAGACGCAGGTCAGGGACTGCCCCCCCCCCCCCGTGTCCCCCTGTTCCCTCTGCCCCTCCCATTCCAGGTGCCCATCCTGGCCCCACTGCCCTGTTCCCACAGGAGCAGCTCGAGCAGCGGGAGCAAGAGCAGGCAGCAGCCAAGCAGCACCGGGTTGAGCTGGAGGTGACGGGGGGGGGCTATAGGGAGCCCACCAGAGGGGCTCTGGGTACCCTTCTAGAGCTGTGCAATGTGCACATCATTGCAGTGACCACGGGGTGCTGCAGAGATCATCAGGTTCCCTATGCCTCCAGAAAGTCCTTTGGGTTCTGTAGGGGACAGAGGGATGTAGGGGTCTCCTTGTGGCTGTCTCAAAGCTAAAGGTGCTGTTATGTATTGTGTGTGGGGCAGGGTGGGTGTGGGGCACCTATAGGGCCCATAGGGTCAATTGTGGAGGGCATAGCTGATGTAGGGACCCTGTAATGCTGCAGGATCCTATCGACTTGTATCAGTCTTAGGGTGTTGTATGGCACCTCGAGGTCTAAGGGAGCACAATGGGGATGTTCTGCGGCCTCCACCCTCTCTGCTATGGCTTGTAGAGTCTTATAGAGCCTGTAGGTGCCACAGTGACACCCCCCTCATCCCCAGGGCCGTGTGGGGGAGCTGCAGGTGGCACTGGGGAATGCTGAGCGGCAACGGGAGCTGCAGGAGGCCGAGGGCCAAGCGCTGCGCCAGGTACCCCAAAGCCCCCCAGTGACCTTTCAGCACCCCCAGTAACGCTCTCTGGGGCCCCCTAACTTCCCCTGACCATCTTTATTCCCCCTAGGAGCTGAAGGACGTTCAGGATGGGCAGCGCATCCTGGAGAAGAAGGGCAGTGCCGCGGTGAGGGACCCCCAAAGGATGGGGACAATCAGAGTCCAGGCTCCTACAACTGGGCCCTGACCCCTCTGTGTCCTCCCCCTTGTCCCCAGCTGAAGGACCTGAAGCGGCAGCTGCAGCTGGAGCGGCGCCGGGCCGACCGCTTGCAGGAGCGGCTGCAGGAGCTGTTGGCACCCACCCGCACCCGCTCTGGTCTGATGGGTGCTGGGTGCTGGGGGGGGGGCTGTGGAAGGGTGGGGGGTCCTGGATGCCTGGAGCCCCCGTGCAGATGCTGTCCTGTGTCCATAGGTTAGGGGCTGCAATGGGGTGGGAGGTGATTGGGTGCAGGGGGGTCTGTGGCTGAATGTACAGGGAGGCTGACAAGTCTGGGGGGTGGGGGGGTGTCTGCACCCCTGGGAGCTCTGGTGGCCCCAGAGCAGGAGTGGTGTGTGGGGGGATGTGGCCTCTCTGGACACCACTGTTTCCTCTCCCCAGGGCTGGAGGAGCTGGGGCTGGAGGGGGGGTCCCCGGGGCGGGGACCGGGGGGGGACAGCAGCAGCCTGAGCTCCCTGGGACGCGATGGCTCCGCCCCCGGTAGCACGAAGGTGGGCGGGGCCTAATGTTCGGGGGCGTGGCTTTGGAGGGGTGTGGCTTGGGGGTGGGAGTTCGGGGCGTGGCTTTAAAGGGGCTGTGGGTTTGGGGGCGTGGCTTCTGGGAAGGGGGTGACCATTTGGGGACGTGGTTTTGGAGGGGCGTGGCTTTAGGGGGTGCCTTTGCATGTGGTGGGTGGGTGAGAGCGGGGTTGTGTTTCTGGGAGAGGGGGGTTCTCTGTGGCCTTGCCTTGGGTGCTGCCTCCCCAGAACTTCACCCCCCCCCCCCCCGCTGACCCTTTTCCCCTGCAGTCGGGCTCCGGGAGCCCTGGGGGTGGCAGTGGTGGAGGGGGGGTTCCCAGCGGTGGGGGCCTGTCCCCTGCGGAGGTGGCGGAGCTGTTCCAGCGCCTGGCCCAGAGCCAGCAGGAGCGCTGGCTGCTGGAGGAGAAGGTACTGGGGGCAGAAATGGGAGGGGTTGGGGGAGTACCGGGGGGTTTGTGTGTCATGGAGCCCTTCTCCTGCCCCCCCCCCTTCCCCCCCCCCCAGGTCCGTCACTTGGAAGTGAGCAGCGCCTCCATGGCGGAGGATCTGTGCCGCAAGAGCGCCATCATCCAAAGCTTCGTGCGTGATAGCCGCCTGGGTGAGCCTTGGGATCCCTGTGTCCCCCTTCCTGCTGCCCCCACCCTCCTCTGCTCCTATATCCCTACGTATGTTCCTATCTCCCTATCTCACTATTCCCGTATCCCCCTATGTCCCCATCTCTCTGTCCCTATGTCCCCATCTCTCTGTCCCTCTGTATCCGCATCTCCATATCCCTCTACACGTCTACTCCCTGTCTCCCTGCGCCCCTATTGTCCCTATCTCACTACACACCTGTCTTCCTTTTGTCCTATGGCCCTATCCCCTATGCTCTTATTTTCCTAGCCCCGTGTTCCCATCTCCCTCTCTCCCTATTCCCCCATCCTCCTATTCCCCTGTAGCCCCCTATCCCCTCTATGCCCCCATCCCCACTTCCTCCTGTTCCTATGGCTGAGCCTGCCCCCTGTGCCCCGCAGAGGCGGCAGGGCCCGCGGGGCCGGCCCGCCGTGGCGCGGGGCCGGGCGAGGAGGGGCTGCGGGAGATGAACAAGAAGCTGCAGAACATGCTGGAGGAGCAGCTCACCAAGAACCTGCACCTCGGGCAGGTGGGCGGGGCCGAGGCGCGGAGGGGGCGTGGCTCGGGAAAGGGCTGTGGCCTCTGACTCTGCTCCCCCGCAGGACCTGGAGGCGCTGTCGCAGGAGCTGGCCCGGCTCAGCAAGGAGCGAGCGGCCCCCCCCGGCCCCCCCTGAGGACCAGGGCCTCTGCTGCAGGCTGCGCCCCGAACCACACCCTCCCCCCTCCGTGGGCGCGGGCCGGCCGGCGGGGGCGCTGTCGCTTTACCGAGATGTAGCCCCTTTAAGGAGGGGTGGCCCCATCGGTGGCGTTGCCGTTTTAATGGGGACGGGGGCCCGCATGCGTCCCCCCCCTTCCCCCCCTCAATAAACCCGCTTCAGCCGCTGCGTCTTGCGTCATCGCCTCTGTGGAGTGTACGTGGGGTGGGTCACATCACGCCCCGCCTCCTACGACGTCACGACTGCGCGCTGACCCGGATGTTGTTGCGGCCGCAGGATGGGGACGATCGTGCCGCTGCTCGGGATCGTCCCCGCACCGAGCGGCGCGCGGCGTGACGTCAGCACGGTGATGTAACAACCCGCTTTTCCCTCCAGTCCCACCTTCACCCGCACTGTCCGGTAGCGGCGCGACCCTCCCCCCCGGCCTCCCCTCCCGCTGCCTTCCCCGGGTCCGCTCCTGCGTCTGCGTCCCGAAATCCATTCCCCCCCCCCCCCGCAATGGCGGCTCCGGGGGGCGGGGCCGCGTTGGAGGAGGAGTGCGAGGTGGTCCGCGTGCGCGTCAAGGTGAGGGGCGTGGCCTCATGGGGTGGGAAGAGCTAATTCACAGGGCGTGGCCTCGGGGAGTGGGCGTGGCGTCACATGGCGGGCGGAGCTAAATCACCTAGGCGTGGCCAACAAGGGGCGGGCCAACGAGAGGGTGTGCTTTGAGGCACTGTTGCCGTGGCGAGGAGACGCGGCCGCCGTGTTGGGCCCGCTCAGAGCCGGGTTTGTGGGGGGGTTCTCCGGGGCTCGTCCCCGGTGCCCCCCCGGTTACTGCCGCCCTGCCGCAGAAGAGCGAGGGCTTGCAGCCGCCCGAGTTTCGCTCCTTCGCCGTGGACCCGCAGATCACATCCCTGGACGTGCTGCAGCACATCCTGGCCCGTGCCTTCGACCTGCAGGGGTGAGCCCGGCGCCCCTCTCCCGCCGCTGCCTGAGCCCCGGGGGGGGGGTGGTCCCAGTCACTGAACCCGTCTCGGGTCCCCCCTGCCGCAGGAAGAAGAGCTTCTCCATCAGCTTCGCCGCTCGTGACCCGCATGGCCAGGAGAGCTTCGTGCCGCTGCTGAGCGATGGGGACCTGGCGGCTGCCTTCGCCTGTGCCCGGCCCGCGCTGCGCCTGCGCCTCGACGTGCGGCCCCCAGCTGAGAGTGAGGGGGGAGGATCGGGGGGGGGATCAGAGGGAAAAGACAGCCTGGTCCCCAGTGAGGCCCCCATCTCCCTATTGCCCTATACTCCCATCTCTCTATTCCATTACATTCCCATCTCTGTGCTTCTCTCCCACTATTCCCCCATGTTCCTATCCCCCTAGACTTCTATCTCCCTGTGCCAGTTAATGCCCCCATCCCCCCTTTTCTCCTGTTTCTCTCCTCCTGAGGGGGAACATCCATAAAGGGTGCCCATGGGTGGGTGTCAGGAAGGCGACCCTGGTGCCTGGGTGCCCAGTGGAATGACCCCAACCTGTGGGTGCTGCAGGCCCGCTGCTGGAGGACTGGGACATCATCAGCCCGCGGGAGGTGGCAGCAGTGGAGCCGCTCCCTGAGCGCCGCTCGCTGCTGGCTGCAGCTCTGCCCTTCACCCAGGCCCTGCTGGCACAGGTGAGTGGGGCTTAGGGTGTCCCCCCTATTCCCAGTGCTCTCAGTCCCCTCCCCATGCTCCCAGTCCCCTCCTGGCTCCATCCCGGACACATTCCACGCAGGTTGGCCGGACGCTGGCCCGGGCACAGGCTGCCCTGGCATGGCCTGAGGGGTCCCCCCCCTCACCCCCACTGCCGCCCCCCCCCTGCACCCCACTGAGCGATGCCGACCTCCGCACATACCTGGGCCCTGGCGGGCGGCTGCTGCGGCCCCATGACCTGCGGCTCCACGTCTACCACGGTGGTGTTGAGCCCGGCCTGCGCAAGGTGTGTACTCCCTATGTCTCCCCTCTCTCCACCCTGGGTGATGTGTGTCACATCCAGCTGGGAGCTCAGCTCTTTCTGGGTGGCTTCCTGCTATTTCTGTACTGGGCATGAGGTGCTGTGCAGGTCATGCCTCTGCTCCTTCCTGCCTTCTGAAGGGGCTCTAAGGGTGCTGGAGAGGGACATTCACCAGGGGCTGCAGCAGTAGGGCAAGCGGGGTTGCGTTCAGACTGGAACAGGGCACGTTCAGGTTGGATCTAAGGAAGTTCCTCCCTGTGCAGGTGGTGGGACAGTGGAATGGGTTGTCCAAAGAGGAAAACAATCCATCCCTGCAGCATGTTCAAGCCCAGCTTTGACGGGGCTCATGCACCACCCTATCGATGTGTCCCTGCCCATCCAACCGCTTTGTTCAACCCTTCCCCACCCGCCCCACCCCACAGCACCCTGACCCTGTGCCTTTCCTGCTGCAGGTGGTGTGGCGCTACCTGCTCAATGTCTTCCCGCCGGGGCTCTCAGGGCAGGAGCGCTTGGCTCACCTGCGCCGCAAGGCGGGTGAGTACGCGGCACTGAAGGAGGTGCTGGCGGCACGGGCGGCCCCTGGCGAGCTGGCGCTCGTGGCGGCCGCCGTGCGCAAGGACGTGGTGCGCACTGACCGCGGGCACCCCTACTTCGGCGGCCCCGAGGAGGGGCACCCGCACTTGGCTGCGCTGCAGGCGCTGCTCACCACCTTCGCGCTGGGCCACCCGCGCCTCTCCTACTGCCAGGGCATGTCGGACGTGGCGGCGCCGCTCTTGGCCGTGCTGGATGATGAAGCTCAAGCTTTCCTCTGCTTCTGCTCCCTCATGCGCCGCCTTGGACCCCGCTTCCGGCCCGGTGGCCGGGGCCTGGCCCGTGCCTTTGCCCACCTCCGGCGCCTCCTGCGCCGTGCAGACCCCCCATTCTGGGCCTTCCTGGCTGCCCGTGGCGCCCACGACCTCCTCTTTTGCTATCGCTGGCTCCTGCTGGAGCTCAAGCGTGAGTTTGCCTTTGAGGATGCCCTCAGGGTGCTGGAGATCACTTGGAGCTCACTGCCACCTGCCCCACCACCCCCCCCCGGTGGGGTTCCCCTCCTTGGGGCTCCCCTGGGCCCACGCCGGGCTTGCCGGGGGCTGCAGGAGCGGCGCGGGCTGAGGCCACGGCCCCCCCGGCGCCTCCGCCGGCAGCAGCAGCGCATGGGGGCTGCTGTGGATGGGCAGGAGGGCTCCAGTGATGGGTCCAAGGTCTCTGTGGGTGGCGCAGAGGCTCCCAAGAGGTTTGGGGATGAGCAAGACACACCAAGGAGCTCCAGGGGTGTCCCAGAGGGGCTTGGGAGCTCCAGGGTTATCCAGAGCTGTGGGGATGAGCAAGAGGGGCTCCAGAGCTCCAACATCATCAAGGGTGGTTCTGGGGGCAGCTGCGAGAAGCCTGAGGTCTTTGGGGGTGGCCAAGCTTGTCCTGACCAAAAGGGCTGGGAGATCTCCCAGGATGTCCATGGCAATAACAAGGGTTTTGTGGAGGTCCTGGGTGATGCCAATGCCCCCAGGGGTCTCCAAGAGCATCCCAAAGCCTCCAGTGATGGTGGCCAAGATGCCGGTGGCCTCAGGGACACGGGAGAAGGCCAAGAGCCAGGTGTCTCCAAGCAGACCCATGGAGCTCACCATGTCTCCAAGAAGCCACGTGGAGATCGGGATGCCCTGGAGAAGTCCGTCCATGACCACAGTGCTTCCAAGACGATCCGTGAAAACCCCTATGTGCCCAAAGACATCAGAGGAGACCCTGAGCTCCTCCATGTGCTTGGTGACACCCTCAAGGAGGTCAGTGGCAACTACTCCTGCTCCCCTGGACAGGTTGGTAAAGGTCCCAGTGAGGTTGATGGGGACCCCAGAGAGGTTGATGTAGATCCCATAGAGGTACATGAGGACCCCATAGAGGTACATGAGGATCCGATAGAGTTATGTGAAGCCCCCATAGAGGTACAGGAGTACCCCACAGAGTTACATGAGGCCCCCAGTGCGGGCAGCACCCCTGCTGAGGACCCCTGGGGTGGTGCTTGGCCTTGGGAAGCCTCAAGTTCCTCTTCCTCTTCCTCCTCCTCTTCCTCCTCAGAGGACGAGGTCGGGGTGGAGGACGATGGGGCCCCACTGCCGCCGCCAGAAGAGCTGGGCCAGGGGAACCCCTTCCTGCTCTTCCTGTGCCTGGCCATGCTGCTGGAGCAGCGGGAGGTGGTGATGGCACGCGCCGGGGACTACAACGAGGTGGCCATGCACTTTGACCGCCTGGTGCGGCGCCACCACCTGCCCCGCGTCCTGCACCGTGCCAAGGGGCTCTTCGCGCGCTACCTGGAGGGCTGGGGGGGCACGCCCCCGGGGGGGCATGGCACAGGGTAAATGGAGGGGGAGAGGTATGGGGGGGGGTCAAAAGGGGAATGGGGGGGAATGGGGGAATGCCGTGAGTGATGTGTGGGGGTTGTGGGGTGTCATGGGGAGCCATAGGGCAACGTGGGGACCCCCTGGACAGCACATGGGGACCCATAGGATAACGTGGGGGCACCATGGGGAGCCATAGGGCAACGTAGGGACCCCCTGGATAGCACATGGGGACCCATAGGATAACATGGGGGCACCATGGAGAGCCATAGGGCAATGTGGGGACCCCCTGAACAGCACATGGGGACCCATAGGATAACGTGGGGGCACCATGGGGCCCTAGGTCAGTATGGGGACCCATAGGGCAAGGGGGGGATCCCATGGACAGCACAGGGGGACCTGTTGGTCCTCTTTGGGGACTCCCAGACCACTGTGGAGATTTCCAGGTCAACACGGGGACCTGTAGGCCCATATGCGGGGCCCCATTGACCCCCTATAGGGGACCTATAAGGAACAAATGGACCCCTTGGAGGCACCCCAGTATGGACCAGTATGAACCACTACATCCCAGCTGGGAACTCCTGGATCTGCATTGCCTTGGGCCAGACCGGTATGGACCATCATGGACCAGGACAGGTCTGGGTTGGACCAGTACAACTCCATCAACTGGAATTGCTGGTTCGACATTGCCTTCAACACTCCCAGTATGGACCAGTAAGGACCAGCATGGCAGCCCAGTGGGAGTTCTTCACCCATGTGGCCTTGTGTCCTCCCACTATAGAACAGTATGGACCAGTGGGGGGCACTGACTGAGATCTAATGCGCATATGGCTTCTTCCAGTATGGACCAATGCAGCCCAGATCCTGCCGCCTGCCCTGGGTTCCTTTTACCCCCTCCTTATTTATTGCCTCCTCCTCCGGGGGGGTATTTCAGCATCTGGGATCTGTGGGGTGCTGGAGACTTCAATAAACCTGATGCCTGTGACTAGTGTTTGGGATTCCCAGTATGGGCTGGCGGGGTCCCAGTATGGGCTGGGAAGCGATAGTGGTCTCTGTTGTGGTGTGATAAGAGGGGTGGGATCTTCCGAGTGTTCCCATGTCCCTCCTGGTGTCCCCAGTTTTAGTCCTATCACTGCCTGCATTGGCTGAGGCTGTTCCCAGTTCCCCTCCCATTGCCTCCTGTCAGCCCCCATTGCCTCCTGTCACCCCCCATTGCCCCCCATCATCCCCCATTGCCTCCCACAGTACCCCCCAGTTCTCCCTGCACCCCGGAGGTGACGTCTCTGCCACCTCAGGCCTTTGGATGCTTCCGGGCGGAAGAGGCCTCCGCAGGGACCCAGGCACGGGGGGGGTCCCAGGCACCGGGGTGTCCCAGCGCACCCAGGGATGAGCCAGGGGGGGCCACCGGGCGGGGCCCACGTCCCCTCAGCACTGCTGCAGCCCCAGGAGAACCTGCGGCTGTTTGACTTCCTGGGCAGGAAATGTGTGGTGAGGGGGGAAAGGGCACTGGGGGTTCCCATGGGGCCCATAAGGCATTTAGGGGCCTCCTTGGGGGTCTCATTGGGATAAATGGGGGTCTGGAGGAAGCTGGGGGGGGGGCCTAAAGGAGTGGGGGGTCCCATGGCAGCATTTGGTGGAGGGTTTTGGGTGCACTATAGAGGGGTTTGGGGGGGCAAAGGGTGGCTTTGTGGGCTCTCTGGGGTCTCTCTCTAGAGCTCTCTTGGGCTCTATGGGGGTCTCTGTGGCTCTATTGGTTTCTCTGGGGGCTCTATGGTTCTCTCTGGTGCTCTATAGGGGTCTCTATGGGTCTCTAACGTGCTCTACTGCCTCTATGGGAGCTCTCTGGGGGCTCTATGGTTCTCTCTGGTGCTCTATAGGGGTCTCTATGGGTCTCTAACGTGCTCTACTGCCTCTATGGGAGCTCTCTGGGACTCTCCGGGTGCTCTCTGATGCTCTCTGGGTGCTCTATAGGGGTCTCTATGGATCTCTATGGGGCACTACGGGGTCATGCTGTCCCCGCAGGCGCTGGTGACGGCGGTGGCGCAGCTCATGGTGGCCGAGCCGGGGGGAGTGGGGGGAGGCGCGGGGGCGGCCTGGGCCCGGCGCGGCTCCGGCGCCGTTTGCCTTGTGCGGGACGGGGCCCGGCGCTCCTACTTCATCCGTCTCTACGAGCTGGGCGTGAGTGCAGGGGCCGGGGGGGGCGGCATGGGGTCTCTATGGGGCGCTATGGGAGTCCCGGAGGTCTCTCACACGCGGGGGGGAGGGGGTGGGGGTGGGGGGTTGTGTCTCGGGAGGGTCCTGGGCTATCTGGGAGTCTCTCATAGGGGTCTCTGGGGGGTTCGTGGGGGTCAGTGGGGGTGGTCCCGGGGAGGGGTCTCTCAAGGGGGCCTCTCATAGGGATCCCTGGGGAGGTGTCTCTGGATCTCTCAGGGGATCTCTGGGGGTTCCGGGGGGTGGCCTCTCTGGGGTGTCTCTCATAGGAGTCTCTGGAGGGGGTGTCCCGGGGCTTTCTGGGGTCTCTAGGAGTGGTCTCTGAGAGGCGTCTCCGACAGGGGGCTGCGAGGGGGGCTCTCTCCCAGGCGGGGGCGCTGCGCTGGGAGCAAGAGCTGCAGGGGGGGATGGGCTACACGGCCCGCACCCCCTTCTTCCACACCTTCATCTCCTACGTGAGTGGGCGGGGCCACGGGGAAGGGGCGGAGCCAAAGGGAGGGAAAACTCCGGGGCTTCTGGGTTTTGGAGGCTGGGTGGGCGGTGCTTCGGGGTGGGTGGAGCCAAATGAATGTGGGAGGGGCTACTGTTAGGCTGGGCAGCGGGTGGGACCGAGGGGCGGGGCTTGTCACATGTGGGCTTGACCAAGGGGCGGGGATTGCTACGCGTGGGTACGAACGTAAGGGAGGAGCTTATGCCATGTGGGCGGGGCTAAGGGGTGGGTTGGGGTTTATGACCTGTGGGGCGGGGCTCGCTGCCCGTGGGCAGGGCCCATGGGGCAGCGCCCTGATTGGCTGCGCAGGAGGGCCAGGCGGGGCTGAACTTCGCTGACGAGGGGGAGGCGGCCGCCTTTGAGGCGCTGGTCCAGGAGCGGCTGCGCCGGCGGCAGCAGCGGGCGGGTGAGAGCAGCCCCGTGAGTCCCCCCAGCGCCCCCAGTGCACTGGGGCAGCCCCGCACGCACCCCCGTCCTGTCTCTCCCCAGAGAAGCGGCAGCTCCCGCCTCTGCCACCCCCCGGTGATGGTGAGTCCCCCTGCATTGAGGGAGGCAGAAGTGGAGGGCACAACGGGTCCTGTGGGGTGCAGCACCAACAGCCACCTGTCCTCCCCACAAAGTGTCCTGGGAGCCTGTCCCCCATCCCCATGGCCCCTGGTGATGGCAGCGGTGAGTGTCTGCTCCACAGCAGCATCTTGCAGCCCCACAGCGGGGTCTTGCTGCCCTACAGAGAGTTACTCAGATGTATCGTGTCCTTTGCAGCCCCTCTACTGCTAGCTGTGCCCATCAGCAACCCTGATATCACGGCATTCCGCTACCGGGGGCTGCCCAGCCCCACAGATGGACCCACAGCGAGTCCCACAGCCGGGGAGCAGAAAAAAAGCCGCAAGAAGATCTCCAAGGCCGACATCGGTGCCCCATCCGCCTTCAGGTGGGTCTGGCAATGGGAACGTGAGGGGCTGTATAGGGCAGAGGAGAGACCTCACTGGGAGCGCAGCTGTGGGACAACATCTGTTCATCCTCCATCATCCCAGGCATGTTGGTCACATCGGTTGGGACCCCAGTAACGGCTTTGATGTAGGTGTCTCCTTTGCCTGGTCTTCCCCCGCTTCTGTGGGGCACTGCTGTGGGGCTGACACGAGCTGTGGGGTGCAGGTGGCGGCGCTGGACCCTGCTCTCCAGGCACTCTTCACCCAGGCTGGCATCACTGAGGTGCAATTGGCTGATGCCGAGACCTCCCGCCTCATCCACGACTTCATCACTGAACGGGGTGGGCTGCAGGCAGTGCGGGAGGAGCTGCAGCGCCAGGGTCAGCCCCCCCTCCTCCCGTGCTCATTAACATGCTAATTATGAGACACTAATTAACATCTCTCCCACCCCCCAACAGGTCCCCCTCTCCCACCGAGCCGAGGGGCTGCCCCTCCTCTTCCTCCCTTTCCCCCCGGTCCCTTCCGCAGCTGCACGGGCCCGCTGCCCCCACAGCCAGGGGGGGCCCTGCCGCCCCGCGGTGGCCCCACACTTCCCGCGGTGGCCCCGCCCTCCCGGCCCGTGGCTCCGCCCCCTGGACGTGGCCCCGCCCCCCCGAGGGCCACAGCGGCTCCGCCGCCTCCTCCCCCACCACTTCCGCTGGCCACCTCCGGTGGAGGCCCCGTACCCCCCCCAGGGCGGGGGGCACTGCTGGACCAGATCCGCCAAGGGGTGACACTGAACAAGGTCAGTCTAGGGGTTTTGGGGTGTCCCATGAGTCCCCGGAGCTAGGGCGAGGACAAGGGGTGTGGCATGAGCCCCTGGGGGTGGGGGGATTTAGTGGAGTTTTTGTGCCCCCATGACCCCACCTTACCCCCCTCAGATCCCCGAGTGCCCTGAGAGCAGCAGTGGCAGCGCCAACACTGGGGGGCTGGTGGGGGCCCTCATGGATGTGATGCAGAAGCGCAGCAGAGCCATCCACTCCTCGGGTGAGCTCTCCTGGGGGGGATGACACATACCCCACAGCCCCTGCGCTCCCCCCTCGACACTCCACCTGACCCCCTTTATTCCTGCAGACGAGGGTGAAGAGCTCCAGGAGGAGGATGAAGAAGACGAGTGGGACGACTGAGCACCCCCAGCCCCACCAGGCACAGACTGAACCCCCACCCTGAGGGACCCCTTCCCCCAGTCTCACTTTGGCAGGAGGCCACCATTAAAGGCATCCCTAATCACCCCTAACGAGCGTTAACGATCATCATTGAAGGGATGCCTGTGTGTGGAAAGACGTGGAATGCCCATGCAAGGAGTGTGCAAGAAGCGTGCAATGGGTGTGCAATGTGTGTCATGGTTTAAGCCCAGCTGGCAATGCTTAAGCCCAGAACAACGCTGCTGCTTGTTCACTCCTGCCCCTTCTTCTGCCCCGCTCCTGGAGGGATGGAGGAGAATGGAAAGAATGTCACTCCCACGGGTTGAGATAAGAACACTCCAGTAACTAAGGTGTAACACAAACACTACTGCTACCACCAGTAATAATAATGATAAGATGAATAACAAGGAAAGAGAATAAAACTGGTCACCACCTGCTGACCGATTCCCAGCCCAAGCTGAGCGGTGATCCAGCCCTTCCGGGTCACTGCCCCCAGTTTATATACTGGTCATGATGTGCTGTGGTATGAAACACCTCTTTGGCTAGTTGGGGTCAAGTGTCCTGTCTCTGCTTCCTCCTGGCTTCCCCTCCTCCCTGACAGAGAACGAGACTCAGAAAGTCCTTGGTCAGAGTACACATTACTGAGCAACAACTGAAAACATTGGCGTTATCAGTGCTGTTCCCAGGTTGAAAGTCAAAACCACAGCATTACACCAGCTAATATGGAGAAAAATGACAGCTACTGCTGAACCCGTAACAGTGCGCAATGAGTGTGCAATTGGTGTAAACAAACAGCAGATATCTGCTGTAGAGCCAGGATAGAAAGCTGCTGCTGGGGATGTTCTGCAGATAGCGAGCTCTGCAGCTGTCTCTCCTCGATTACCCACCTAAATGTCTAACTACATTCAACTTATGCGGCTTACACTCCTGGCCACCATGCAGCGCAGTGAGAAGAGCACGAACGTTTGGCCTCTGCTCCCACAGCCAAAGAGCCAGGAGGGAAAGCTGGTGCTGGGCCTCTTCTGCACACTGTGAGCTTTGCAACGGTGACACACACATTGCTCTCACTCCTTGCTTTCCCACCAGACCACCATATCTCCACTTATGCCACTGTTAGCGTCGAGACAAACACATAACCACCCGGATGGTTATATGAGGTGCTTTATTGAGGCACCGGGAACCAGGGGTACGCACCCAAATCTGGTTCCGACTCCCATCACATCGCGTTCGCAATTTATACACTAAAAATTTCGTAACTAATACATATTCAACACAGATTACATCATTGACTAATACATATGCATCAAGGATTGCTACATCAGTCTATTACGACATCAGCCTCCTTTGCGCTTGCGCAGCCCCCTCTGGTGGTCGCCCTGATGAAGTAAGGGGTCTTCCTCAGATGAAGTAAGAAGTCTTCCTCAGGTTGTCCTCTTCACCTTTTCTCTACTTGGCTAGGTCCCAGTCGTCTTGTGGACGTTAGCATTCTCTTATCTTCACCAGGATGCTTCTGGTATGCCCTTTTTGGCTATCTTAAACTTAGGTTCTGCTTGGGTAGAGTCTTACAATACATGCACCCATACTCCCCTCACCATATGCAGTTATGTTAACTCTTGCTACCAAGACTATCATTGTAACATTTAGTTACAGAGTAACTATGATACAAAACGGCAAAGTTACAACGTCTTCTAATATACAAAGCCTCACTATTGATTTATAAATTTCTCAAATATAATCATTTTATTATTTTATGTGATTATTTTATTGTAAAAACTTCACCCTCTCTAACATTTCCCCCCCTTTGAAAATACTTCATTTAACTTAAGCAAGTATTTTCATTCTCTTAGGTAGCTGTCTCCTGATAGGTAGATGGAGGTGTGGGGTACTTTGGGTGTTCCCTAGTTAGTGCTCCTATGATTCGATGAGTCCATGCACTGTTGTGAGTCATTTCCCTTCAGATATAAAAATACATCAGATATGTTATAAAAAACACAATTAATATTACAATTGCAGTTTGTATGAGGGAACGAACCCATCCAGTAAGGTGAAAACCCAGACTGTTAAATATTGTCCCTAGCCAATCTTGTTCAGCATTTTCTTTTTCTTTTTCTATCTCACGTTCAATGTTGGTTAGTTGGGAAATGTCATGTTCTATATCTGCAGTCACATTAGGAATGTGAATACAGCAATGATCCACTCTGTCCTTTAAATATCCACAGACACCATGTTCCTTAAGTAACAACATGTCTAATGCCATTCTGTTCTGCAAAGTCATTCTAGTTGTTGCCTGTAATTGCAAATTTACATCTTTGAATCCTTTCTTTGTTATTCTGGCTAACCTTTTTGTTTGGCCAATCAGACTGTCAATCATCTCTCTATTTCGATATGCTGCTACTTGGGCAAATAGGGATTCAAAAGCCTATCCTATTTTAACTCCTGTAGAGGGCTCCTGCCAAGTGTCTTTCATCATCACTGTTGTTATCACCTATATCTCTTTTTGTTCGAATCTGCAGGGTTTCTAATCTGCCTTTGAATGGTGACCTCTTCCAAATTGGACAAAGAGTTGGTAATCCTAAGGTGATTTCTTTAGCTGGACTGTCCACGGATAAGTGGGTAGTCCAAGTTCCATCACTTGCTGCCCAAACAAAATGTCCCATGCATTGTAGAATATTTACAGTCTACATTGTCAATTGGGACCTGTATCACTTTTCCTCCAATTCTCAGTCCTCGACATGCACATCCTGCCATTAAAGCAACTTTAACTGGAGGTATTGTGATTTCCTCGGGGTCAGAGTCGCAATCTAAAATTTTGGTACAATTCCACCAAGGAACATTTTTGATAACATCTCGACTAACTCTGTTTATGGACAGCAAATTATTGATGTTTATGTTTCCTGTTACATTTTGCTTTCCTGTCCATCTAAGGCACCAAAATGTGTTTCCAATATATTGAAATTTCTGCAAAATGCTCATTGACCAAGCCGTGTCCCAGTTTTCTTTTAAACCATTTGTTTTTTCACATTCCCATACTTTTTCTTGTTTGTTTATCTTCTTCCCTTTATTATAGACACACTTTCCCCACTCATCTCTTATAGAGTTAAACTGAGCATTTTGGTACTTTCCACATACTGATTTTAATATCAAAATTGCAGGATCCCCAAAGACACCTTCTTCCTGATATTCTATCACTGTTATATTTCTTGTTACCTCTTTTTCCTGACAAGTGATTGTTCCGTTAATTTCTGAAAGTGAAAACGGTATTACTCCCCATTCAATCGGTTCTCCAGCTGCTTTGGGTATCGGCAAACATGCTGTTATTCTACTTGTGTTTTTCATTTTTACGAAATCTGTAATCAGACCTACCATTTCTTCAGCATTTCAGTGGTATGATTGGATTATCTGTGTGGAATTCACTGATCTTTTAGTTCTTTTTCCCATAACTTCGATTTCGCTGTGGCTAATTGCAGATTCAGTCCTACAGAACCGTTTACCTTTATAAGCGTTGGTCCCATCAGAATGGTTTCCGTGAACTTGCAGGTCAGAATGGCATCTTGTTTTAAGTTTTGTCAAACCATTTTTCTGAGAAATTCCTAGGATAGGACTAAATGTCAATTGTGTTAATGACCAAATGACAATCAAAATTTTGTAACAAAACCCAGACATCTTATTTACATTTCAGCTTCAGTTTCGTAGGGCCTAGTATCTGTGTTTCCCAGACTTTTGGAACTCTTTTTACCCGTGTATACTGTATCCAAGAATCCACCCCTTCTAACTTTACTGCAGTGAACGTTGTTAATAGTACTTGATGAGGTCCGTCCCACCTTTCTTTTAATGGTTCCTCATTCCAATTTTGGATGTATACTTGATCTCCTGGCTGAATGTCATGTACTGGATTTTCCAAGGACAATGGCCTGTTCCACACCAGGGTGCTTCTCAGTCTGGTTAGGGTTTTACCTAGAGATAGCACATAATTGTAAACATCCTGATTCTCTTTAATGTGGGTATTGGGATTAGGTTCTGGTGCCTCATATGGTTTTCCATAGAGGATTTCATAGGGGCTTATTGACATTCCACTTCTAGGTTTTATTCTGATTCGCAACAAGGCAATGGGCAGTGCTTGTGGCCACTTTATTTTGGCCTCTTGGCATATTTTACTGATTTGCCTTTTTATTGTCTGATTCATCTTTTCCACCTGCCCACTAGATTAAGGTCTCCAGGGAGTATGTAGATTCCATGATATTCCTAACAGTTTACTTATCTCCTGTACTATTGTTGCGATAAAGTGTGGGCCTCTGTCTGATGATATTCCTAAAGGAACACCAAATCATGGAATAATTTCTCTGAGCAACCACTTTACTATCTCTTTTGCCTGATTGGTGCGACAGGGAAGGGCCTCCGGCCATCCAGAAAAGGTGTCAACCCCTACTAATAAGTATTTGTACCCTTGTGTCTTTGGTAATTCCACAAAATCAATTTGCCAATAATCTCTTGGTTTCATCCCTACTCTGATCCTTCCCATTTCAACTTGTTTCCTTACTAGTGGGTTATTTTTTCAAACAAATTTCACATTTTGACCCTACTGATTTTGCCATGGTTAACATCTGTGTGGAAATTATTCCTCGCTTTAAATAAGTCACCAATGCTTCTGCACCCCAATGACATTTCTGATGTTTGATCTGTAGAATTTTTCGCATTATAGCTGGTGGCACTATTATTTGTCCAGTTACTGTTGTATACCATCCTTCAGAATTCTTTTGAGCCTTTAACAGTCCTGCCAATCTCTCATCTTCCTTTGAATAGTTTGGATCTTGTGAGAGATAGGTACAGAGTGGGCTTACCTTGAGAGGTATCAGTGCCATCATATTCCATACCTTCCGGGCCACCTGTCGAGCTGTCCGGTCTGCCAATGTATTTCCTTCAGATATCTTTGAAGTTCCTCCTTGATGCGCTTTGCAATGCATGATGGCCACCTGTTTAGGCTTTTGCACAGCAATTATTAATTCCAAAATTTCTTTTTGATATTTTATATTAGTCCCTTGAGAAGATAGAAGCCCTCGTTCTTTCCATAATGCTCCATGTATATGTACTACGC